AGATTACAACAATGTGCTCCTCCAACAATAAGATCAAGTGAGCAGTCCTATTGTTTCCACGGCTTAAACAGGTATCACATTCGACGTCCGTTGCTGCGTTTTTTTATCGCATGCGTGTGGAAAATGCGAATTTTTATCTTATTCGTTGCTAAATTATACGCTGCATTGACGAATGCTTTTGTCAAACGGTTTAACATCCATCTACGCAGCGTAACGCATGCTACGCCGAATTTGTATGAGAATAAGGTGGAAAGGAAATACGCATTTTCCCGACACATGTGTTACGTATGTGATAAAAATGCGTAGCGACGGTCGTCACGTCTGATCCCCACCGAAGTGGTACATTGCAGAACTGTGGATAGTCCAGGTTTACACTCGTGTTACTCACAAAGACGAGGTTATGACCCGGGTAATGTGAAAACTTTTTGTTTGACTGTTGGTACTGTAAGTTTGTCTTATCTGGATACCAGTCTGGTTAGTTGCAGAAGTAAGACGGAGTACATAAGGTATCTATTTTGCTTAAAACATTTCGTAGATCATTGTTTTTACCTGCCTCAGGAGGGTTATGTTTTTCGAGAGTATGACGTATATATCCAGAAATTCGTTTTTACGGGCTACAGCCCTAAAAGCTGCGCAATTCTTGCCAATTAAGGTGTTGTTAGATTCATCTCAGCAGCGTGAGTGACACTGACTATTATTAAAAATTCATAAATTCAAGATGGCGGATTTTTATCATAAAATAGGTATAAATTTGAAATTACCACAGTCGGGCATTTGTAATTACTTGTTAAGTAGTTATATTTATGAATGTTTTTTTATCCTAAAATCTACCCCTGGTAAAAAGGCCATACCTATAGAGAGATCACAAAAAACAGCTCCAAGCACTCGGATGCAGAATAAGGTTATGAGACTGATGAGAACAAAACGCGAGTTGATTTTAATAAATGTACGAGTGAGTATACGTACCAAGAATCGCATTCTCCCTGTTAAAAAATGCTGGCGAGCTCACCCAAGCTTGAAATTACATGTAAAAAGGAAGCATAAGAGTATTGTTACAGGGTGGAATTTTATCACTAGACGCGTCTGATAGTCTGTAATCTTTTTTACCCTATATGTGGGCGTCCGCGCATGAAGGGTCCAGTTGTAGGGTATTGAGTTAAGACCAGTTTCGGAATCTAGAATAATCCCTCTATCATACTGACTACAAAAAATACCATATTTGAATATGTATTTTTTTTACAGACATTCAAAGTTGTAACTCTGAAAAAAGTGGTTTCGAGAAAATTGAGTTTAAAGGTTTAGGTTAAAAAAAAACACAGTTCTACTTATTTGTTACATAGGTCATTATTTTTTCATAAAGATTACACTAATGTGCATTCAATCATGTGACCATAACTTTAATTTAAATAATCAAGGTAAGAAAATCAAGCGTGTGGATTTCAGAAAACACTAAAGCCGACTTCTGGTACCTTTTATTGCCAGGTATTAGTACTTAATGTTTTGACCAGATATTAACAGCCATATGGTGTCCTAGAACTCTCTTTTGCCTTTTGTACTGTTAGATTAAATATGAAGTATTAAATTATACGAAATTTTACAGATTTCCATAAGATTTTATGAAACACCGACAAGTGGACCTTTTTTTTGCTACACTTTAGCTAGTGTTCAGAGATTTGGTATTTACTAAAATCCCAAAAAAACTATAGCGTAACGTATTATTTTACACTTACAACTTAATTTATATGTATGTTGACACACGGCATCTTGCCACACGGTATCTTGCCACACGGTATCTTGCCACACGGTATCTCGACACACGTTACCTCGATCTACGTTATTTCGACACGCGTTAACTCGACACAAAGTATCTCGACACACGTTAAGTCCGCCTTTGTGAATCTTGCTATTTACTTCTTTTACCAATATTGTAAATGTGTTTATCTACACTTCATACATAATGTTCCTATTACAAATTCGAAAGCAAATGTATAAGCAACTGCTTTATAGCCATTCAGCCTTTTAAAAAAAATGTCGATGTCATAAAGTAAAATGTCGATGTCATAAAGTACTTTTTTCTGACTTTATGATATCGACATTTAGCAGTAAGATAATAAAAAAAAAAACAAATGTCACGACACAATCAAAGAATGGGACGGCACTTGAAATTATGAGGACTTATTTATGATTAAATCTTTGCTTCAAATCATTTTCCGAATTAAAATTTACCGATTAATGCTTTTTAATTTTAAAAGTTGTTCCGTTTCTATGAGCTTCCATTTTAACGTTTAGTTAAAAAGTTACTTATGTATAAAAGTCGTCCAGTTGTTGGTTCAGTAGATATGCTTGCAATCGCCATAGTGAAGTGCGGAGGTATGAATTATTTTTCATAGTTTTTCTTGTAAAGTGTAGATAAAATAGTGTATGCAATTGCAATATAATTAGGCTTTAGAATGCTCGTGTCAAACTATTATCACACTCGGCTGCGCCTCGTGTGATAAACAGACACTCACATCCTAAAGCCTCTTATTAGGCAATTGCATAAACTACTATTTGAAAATTGCCAAAACCATATTTTTTTCTCCAACAGAAACAAGTGGTGCAAGTGATTTTGAACCTTATTGACATAGCTTAGAATAACTCGGGTTTTAGAAATTCTTCTATAAATGCCATCACCTTCCTGCCCTTATCCCAATTACTTGGGGTGGGCGCAACACGTTTTGTTGATCACAAAATCGTGTTGAAAAAGGATTTGGCTTAATTTTACGACCGGCCGCCTACCAGACGTCAACCCTCCTTGGGAATTCTTAATTGTGGTGGATTTACCGCCACCATACGGTTGGCCTTGGCTGTTTGGGTCGGGTTTATCCCTCGGTCTCCTCTTATGTCGCCCCACGGCAAGAGAGGGGGTGGTGCTATTCTACTCTGCCGGCACCACATGGCTACTAATTGTGTAATTACTAATTATATTTAAAAATAATAACCTAATTTAATTTAAACAATATAAGACGAATGTCAATAAGGATCAAAATTGCTTGTAGCACTTTATTAGCTTTAAAATTGTTAGTCGAGTCGAAAAAATATAGTACAAGCAATTTTTGTCCTTATTGACATAGCGATGTCGATTATTTTAATGACAAGATCACAATAAAAATATATTAAATCGTAGATCTTGTTAAGGCTTACAGAAAAGATTTTCTTTTCTTCTTAAAGAAAATAATAGCCTAGCATGCATGGTTCCCAAGACTAACGAGGTTTTAGTTTGACAGCTGTCATCTGAATTGTGGATCTCGTCAAGACCTTCAACTTTTTCGAAGCAACGGGTAGTTTACCATTCATAGTTGTCGAGATAAACGTGTTTAAAGTAAGACAGATATCTGCAAAAATCTAGATAATGGCAAGGCCTACAACTTCCTCCAAGCAACATTGGTAGTCTAGCGCGCATAGTGACCGAGATAAACAAGTATAAAGTTTGACAGCTGTCGTCGAAAATATAGATCTGGTCAAGGCCTACAACTTCCTCAAACCAACTGGTAGTCTAGCGTGCATAGTTACCGAGATAAACATGTTTAAAGTTTGATAGCTGTCATCGAAAATGTAGATCTTGTCAAGGCCTACAACTTTCTCAAAGAAACTGATAGTCCCTACCAAGTTATGGGATATGAAAAAAGAGTTTCTGGCCTCCAACATAAAATGAACTAGACCACCAAATCTCTCTCTTCGTGTGGGACACCGAGTCGTTCAACGACCCGATGGACCTTGGTGTCAGAGTTTTCAACCGCCTACTACAAGGTAGCAGACCTCTGACATGGTTGTGTAACGACCGCCATCATAGACAGCAACCGGCACCGACGGCTTAACGTGCCCATCCGAAGCAAGGAACCATCTTACTTTTCGAACAATCAGGTGGTTCAGCCTGCAATGTCCTAACCAGACTGGGAACAAATTCACAAAGTGATAAATATCAACTTTGTGAGTGACCCCACCGGGAATTAAACCCGTAACTTTCTGCGTGGCAGGCAGTCGTACTAACCACCACCAAATCATTTTGAATTTATCTCATCTCTCCCCATCCCACCAAACTTTGCCTCACCCTGCCCCACCTTGCCTCATCTTACCTCACCTACTCTGCTAAAGCTTGCTTCAACCCTGCCGAAGCTTGCCACACCTTGCATGTGTCAAGATAACACGTGTCGAGACAACGTGTGCCGAGATATCGTGTGTCGAAATACCGTGTGTTGAGTTTAACGTGGTAGAGTTAACGCTGTCGAGAAAACGTGAGTCGAGATAACGTGTGTCGAGATTACATGTGTCGGAATAACGTGTGGCAAGATACCGTGTGTTGATATACTGTGTGTCAAGAAGGCGTGTGTCGAGATTTCATGTGTCGAGATAACGTGTATCGAGAACTGTTGAGATGCCAACTATGTCGAAATATCGTTATGTCGACCTGACGTTGTCCACTCCAGTTCAGAGTGACAGTACAAACAGTATTTACGTTAAATACCTAAACCCAGTCATGAAAACACCGACTTGTCAAGACTTGGACCCTTTTCACTAAACTTTATCATTAAAAAAAAACATACTTAGAAACAAAACTTAAAAGTGTTAATTACATGAAATTGTAGTAAATTGTTTGTATAATAATATTCTTTCAAAATCTCAAAATGACACATTTTCACCCAACTTCATAAAAACGCAAATATCTCGGAAACTAAAAGCCGACAACTGGACCCTTCATGCGCGGACGCCCACATATGTCACTAGTAAGAAGATAAGAGAGTCAGACTTATCAAAGTCTATAATATAGGTAGAAAAGTTTCTTAAATTGATAAGCTTCCAGAGAGAAATACTTACTAACGTTAACTTTAGGAAGATGTTATCGCGATAGGAAACATTATGTTAGTATGCCTCAAAGGCACTATTATTTATTGATGACATCGATTCACTGCCCACTCGTTAGTGGCCATAATACACTTGCTTAATTTGTAGGCTAGGATAGAACCGCGGTAGTCCAGTTGCTAGTGGCTTCGGCAGTACAGATACCGAAGGTCACAGGTTCAAATCCTGTCTGCGGTGAAATCTTTTGCAGTTGAAACAGTCAGCAATCTCTTTCTTTTAACGCTTTAAGAGCAATCCTAGAGCCAAGTTCTCATACAAACGTATTCCCCTGTTTTCTTCTATACATACATATAATAAAACAGTAACGATACTAAGTCTGTACATGTAATAGATTTAAAAAAGAGTATTTGTAGTAAATAGTGTTCAAGATATAGATCTCCAAACAGCAAGTAAAAAAATTTTTGTCTGTTTGTCTGTCTGTATGTCTGTCTGTCTGTCTGTCTGTTTGTCTGTTATTCTTTCACGCAAAAACGGCTGAACGGATTTTCACCAAATTTTGTACAGTGATTGCTTATTACACGGGTCAACATCTAGGATACATTTTACTTCGGGAAAATGTCTCAATCCCACGGGAAAACCCATTAACTGGCTCGGCAAAGCTCGACCACCCAGAAACTTTTTTTTACAATTTTACTGGTAGAGAAACGAGGGTATACGGTAATACTATTTATTTTCTGTAATATAAAGCCTCTTCCTCATGGAAAATGATGAAAAAAAAGTTTAAAAAGTTGTTCGAAAAGAAAATTTGTACAAAAATAATTTCATAGATGTCGCTGATAGTTTTGTAAAACGCGGTATCAGAATATTTTTCTTCAAGGTACATAAAAGAGCTATGTCGAACTATCAATTTTCCTTGCATTGCACCTTATTTGTTTTTTTTTAAGAGCGCATTCAATTTTTTCTAGCAAATTTGCAAATATTGGCTTTATAAACATGCGAGTTTCTCGAAAACCGTTATGTAAAAATAATATGTTACTTGAACATTTAATTAAGCATATCTTCATCTAAAAAATGTACAATGTAAATATTAACATTTTAGTTTTAAACCTGTTACAAACAGCGATATCTAAGGCGACAAAACCAAAATTCAGGAAAAGACCTCAAATCAAGCGTGAGTTTTAGAGTTTTGGTTCACTGTAAAAAAATATCAATTATACAAAAAAATAGAGTATATATTTGAGAACAAAGTCTACAGTGAACATTTTACAATTTTATTCAGAAATATAGAATAATACCACGTTTTTATATACGATTGTTTGCAAAATAATGCGCCATTATAACGGCTTCTGTATGAAAAAATAACAGTAGTAAAGATTTTAAAAAAATATATGTTATTTAAGAAGATGTACTTAATCTAATTGCAGAAAAATATATTTATTTTTATTCATAATATCACTGTAAAAAATATTCAAACATCCCCATGTTTTTCGCAAAATGACGCTGCGAGAGGTCTGGCAGGGAAAATTGTATGGGCTTCGTGAAAAGCTCTATAGCGGCCTTAACTGTACCTTTTTTTACAACAAAAAATATTCCTAATTATAACCTAAAAGTTCATGTCTGTTCATGCCTGGTTAGTAAGTACCCATTACGCTTGCTGCATATCCACGCTGAATGGCTAAGGATAAATCTGTTGGACCAGGTACGAGCTGGCATGAGGGTCGCGGCCACAGGCCCTGTGGCGCTGGCCTATCTCTCGGACGAATGCTAGGAAAGCAGAAAACTGAAAAATACGTGGATGGCACAGATCCGCGTACTTTCGCCAGCCCAGCGGTTTGCGTGGTCCGCGGCAAGTGAGTAGCCTCAAATGTGCATCCGCAGGTGGCATCCCACAGGTAGAGAGCGTCTCTCTCCCATGGGATAAGATAAGAGTGAGGCCGTCTCTTTTTTCCGTCTGTGCGGGACAGACCTGGTGGCTCGAGAACGCACGGTACGCTTACGGTACGTCTATAGACATAAAGACCCGGCGTATTAAGTCGTTGAGGGCGTGGTGTCTTGAATGTCTGCCTGCGCACATCCTGCAGCTTAGACCATGGCGACGTCTGTCGTCCACCGTTGCCCCGCACCTGCATATATGCAGGTCGCACACTTTGCAACCGAGTCTCAGTGCGACGGCTATTCTTAGTGAATTGTTGTCTAGATAAGTGCCTAGGTGGGGTGAAGGCAGGGCTTTTAGCTAAGCCCTTGATTCATGGCAGCAGGCCGCCTTGAGGCAAGCTAGGTCTGCACCAGAGGATGTCGCTATTAGTTTTTGGAGGACATCTTTTGCACAGAAGTCGTCCCACAGGCGTTGCACGTCAGGTTTGGAATTGAAAATGATCATCCACATTACAAATTTTGGTGGACAGTAACCATTTACTACGATTCGCAAAAGAAGGGGACCCGAAATGGCAACATTATTGTTTGCGTCTTTTTCATATTACATGACATTTGAGCAATACAGGGTGTTAGGGACGGTGCACCAAAAACTTTGCAGGCATGATCAGACCATCAAACTGAACAACAAACGAAAAAGAAATTCCGACCTTCCATACAAAATTCACGATCAGCTGACTAACTTTGTATGGGAGGTTAGAGAGCTTTTGCGATGTTTGTACGCAATAATCTCCGAAAATATAGCACTCTTTCTCTCTTTGTGTGGGACACCGAGTTGTTCAACGACCCGATGAACCTTGGTGTCAGAGTTTTTCAATCGCCTACTGCAAGTAGCAGGCCTCTGACATAATTGTGTAACGACCGGCATAATAGACAGCAACCGGGACCGACGGCTTAACGTGCCCATCCGAAGCACGGAACCATCTCACTTTTCGGACAATCAGGTGGTTCAGCCTGCAATGTCCTAACCAGACTGGGATCAAATTCACAAAGTGATAAATATCAACTTTATGAGTGACCCCACCGGGAATTGAACCCGGAACCTTCTGCGTGGCAGACAGTCATACTAACCACTACGCCACATCGGTTGTAATATAGTACTGAGATGCTTGAAACTTAAAGTGAGGAAATGCAAAGCAGTCAATCTGTTAACGGTTGTATGTATCGATGGCAAATCGATGGTAAGACCACACGTAACGACCTTTGTTTTAGCGAAGCGAAAACGCATGCGTCTGTCAGATGCATATACAAAATTAGATGCATATATATTTCTAAATTCCCCATACTTAAAAGCAACGTTATAAGTTCGCGGTTCGCTAAACTAAAGTAGCTACGGGCGGAAGTTACGTGTGGGCCCAAGCTTAGTTTGATTGTGCATGCATCACTTAAAAACTGAGGTAGAGAAAGGTCCTAATGATCACCTACGGCAAAGAAGGGATAGTGACAATTTTCATCAGCACTGAAGGGCCTGTCTACCTACCTACCAGACGTCATCGTACTCCAAGAGCGCGGGTAAACTATGAAAATGGTTCTATAACAAAAGTTGTTAGCATGACGTGTGGGTTTTAGTACGCACATGCCTAACTAACGTAACTCTATGCATAGGCGAGACGAAGTTCGCGGGCACCAGCTAGTTTCGAATAAATGCATGTAGAGCTATAAACCTTTTTAATTCATTAAGGCCTTCTAAAGGAATGGCCGTATATATTTATTTTTTCTTTAAATTACGAGTAGAAAGCATATGCAATTACTTTTTTCATGAAAAAAATAAACGTTTTATCATTAACTTTTCGAAAAGAGGCATGATGCCTATAGTAGGTTTTAAACATGGCTTTAGTAAATTTTAGACCGGTAACACACTTGAAGGATAGGCTCGAAACCAATTTGTAACACTCATTTTAAACCCAAGCAATTTAAATTTGGAGCCCATCCCGAAACCGCAACTTGAAACAACGCAAAATGTGCCTATCCGCCGAGTTTTAGGTTATTTATTAGGGAAGCGACGGGTATGATGATCAATTAGCCCGATCATTTATTCTAATCGTCGGCCGAACGTGTTGACAGCTTCATGTTGCACAAGCGGTAGCCGTGTGTTTTTGTTTTATCATGCATGACGCTCGTCAAAACAGATTTTTCATAAAAAATAATAACGTGCCCTGTTATGATTATAACAAAAATGGACATTGTGTCGTTCTGTGCGAAAAAAAAAACTAATGCTGTCTAAACGAGCGTCTTACTTTTTTGTTATTAAACCGACTGATGAAACAAATTAATTAATATTCAGCGTTAGTAGGCTTTTTGTGTCAGTAGGTAACACTATAGCATAAGTTTCAATTATTCTTAAATGATTTTTGTGTTCGGTAATTTCATTGGTTTTTGCAAGACTTGGCGTCAGCTCACCAAATATACATTTCGTACACACCTTTTTTTGCAATCCTACTATTATCAACACCTACTGCACAGATGGCTCACTAAGTAGGTACTAGCAACGATTTTGAAGCTTCCTGTTTTTTACAGGCAATATAACTGGAATATCAGGGGAAGTCAAGGTAGAAGATGGTTGCCACGAATATCATATTTCTTGGATTGAAATTGTCTCAAACTCGTAATGACGTTCTTGTATCAGATTTTATTGTTTTGATATTTCTTCTAATCTACTTTGAGGTTTTCGACAGTAGCAACCCTGGACGCATGTGACGGGAACGGCTATTTTGTTTATATGATAGTTTAATTGTTTCATTTCTTATTTAATTATCTCATTGCAATTGTCAATATCGCGTTATTTACGTAATTGCATTTGAAAATAAACAGAAAATAGAGTCATCGGATTTGTGCATGTGTCATATTTGTCGTCATCATTATTTCAGACGTAGGTATTTGTATTCCACGTGTATTTGACATGAAAACATGGCATCAAGTTGTTATTTGATATTATGTTTATCAATTATTTAGGTTAATAGATAATGTTCACTTTTGTTTATGTATAGGTTGTTTTGTGGCTTTTCTTAATATTAGAAAATGCACCACTACCAGATTTTATAAAATTCCTATTTTAGTTTTTTAATTTTCAAATGATGTTGTTTTGGTTGTGTGATCCTTGTGTGAGTTAATAGTACCTTTGAGAAGATGTCCCACGAAGTATGATACGATAAATTGTATTTTAAAAGGAAGAAGTCAAAGACCTACTTACGTCAAAATACTCAACTCCACTTCGAATTTAATTTGGATTTTGGATGTAACATATCGCCTAATTCTATTTTACAGGCAAGAAAAGGCTTAAATGAAGGTTATTCTTAGAGTATATA